AATAACCGCTAACTAGTTCAATTTAACAATTAACTCAAATAACTATAAATGTTTTAAATGTAAATATATAATAAAAAGTTTGTTATCTTATTATTAATTTTAGTTCAATATTATTTAGTAAAAAAAAAAAATATATATATATTTTAATTAATTCGAAATTAGTTTTTGAATAATTATTGTTTATAAATCGTTATTGAATAGAAAATAGTGATTTTTTTTTATTTTTAAAAATTTCTGGAGTAAACAAAAAATATTAACATTGATAAACAAAAACCTATGTTAATTATTTAAACAGCGATTTTGTTTTGACTAGCAAAGAATAATTTAGAAAGAATATTTTTTTAAATTTATCTTGCTTAGCGTTTCAACTTGCGTTATATAAAAATATAAAAACGTTTATATATAAAAAATATTTTATATAAAAAAATTTTTGATACATAGTTAATTATGCAAACTCTTTTGTTAATTATTCTTAAAACAAAAAACAAATACTTCTCCGCAAAACTTTAATCGTACAAACTTAAAACTCAACTAAAATAATATAAGTATATTTAATAATTTCAATCGTATCTGTTTATAATAAACGTTCGTAAAAATTTGTTTATTAAAAATTAGGTTCCTTAACTTATAAACAAACTCAAAAGTATTTTCATTCTACATATAATTACAAAAAAAAAAAAACTCTTTTTTTTCTTCGTTTGTAAGCAATTTAACTTAATAAAATAAAAAAAGAATAAATATAGTTTAATAAATAAATTAAATTTGTTCTTAACAAAGATTACCTCATAGGTAATCTTTGTTAAGAACAAATTTAATTTATTTATTAAACTATATTTTAATTTTTATTTATATATCAACTTAAATTAAATATAGTAACATGTTAAAATATTTTAACATGACTTGTGTTATTTATAAACCCTAAGGTAGCTGCCCTAACGGCACAATTGTTTTAGGATTATATTTTATTTTGATGAAGATCACATAACTTAATAAAAAATAGAGACTGTCATTAAACTAAAACGTGCCTTAGTATTTATTTAACGGAATCTGTAATGTGCGCGTGCATAATGAAACCTCCATTATATAAATATATTCAACGTAATATTAGTGTCATCAGCGGATGTTATAGTCTACTCGTGATTTCTTTACCTTATAATATAACTTGATCTATGAAAAAAATTTATTGAATCGCACGCAGAAGAAATTTAACAAATTGTCTTCATTCAAAAATTGTGAGTAACAGGTAATTTTTTTTTTCTGTGCTGGCCCCCTCCCCCCACTTAACTTAAAAGCAAAGGTATCTATATACCTTTAACTAATAAGAAAAGCAAAGAGTAATAATTAATGAAGTAATTTTTAGAAAAATACAAATAGATTGTTCATTCATTGGCACATTTTTTTAAATATCTTGAAAAAATGTTTTGATTTTTTTGTTATCATGATAACAAAAATATTAAGACGTTTTTTGATATATTAAAAAAATGTCAACCCTTAATTACAAATTTTTTGCAAATGTTTTTTAATATGAATTTAGTAAAAAACTCTTAAAAAATTTATATTACAAAAAACATTTACATTCTGTATTAATAAGTTTGAAATATAGATTTTTTTAATGTTTTTTACTAAAAACTTTAAAAAGTTACTACTTTTTATTAAAAACATTTGCAAAAAATGTGTAGTTAAGGATTGACGAACAATTTTTCATGTTACTAAATATTTGAATAAAAAGTTAAGCGTAAAATTAAATGTTATAAAAACGTGTTGCGATAAAAGGTTACTTCAATTATTTTTAACATAATTTTTTTTTTCTAATAAATATTTTTACATATCGTTATTCAAAAGTTAATGTGGTTTTTTAAAAATTAATTACTTCTTTTATTTACTAATTTAAAAGTTAAAAAATGATAAAAAGTAGCTTAACTAAAACAGCTCTACGCGTACGTAAAAATCGCTTAAGGCGTATGTAAATTGCTCTAGGCGTAACGCTTTAAAACAAGGCCTGATATGTATAAATATATATGTATAAATATATATGTATATGTATATATATATATATTTATATATATATATATACATATATATTTATACATATATTATATATATATATATATATATATATATATATATATATATATATATATATATGTATATATATATATGTATATATATATATACATATACATATATATATATATATATATTTATACATACATATATATATATATATATATATATATATATATATATATATATATATATATATATATATATATATATATATATATATATATATATATATATATATATATATGTATTTATATATTGTAAAAATGAAAATTTTATAAAAATAATTTTTTTTTGCTTTAATTTAATAAATTTTGTGTTTTTTAAAAAACATTTTAAAATCTCTTACAACATCAGACTTTACTTACCATAATTGTATAATTTATATTTATTGTTGATTATGGAATATTTTAAAGGGTAATTTGATATAGAATTATTGAATAAAAATATAAAATGTAAATATTTTAGTCTTTTAAACTATATATGTTGATGTTGGGTTGTTCTCTATAAAAACAAGAAAAAAATTATAAAAAATGTCATTATTATTCAACAAAAATTTGGACTTTGTTAAAGCCCTAAAATTTCACATCAAGTTATTTATACTAATATTTATACTGAAACTGAATAAATTGATATACTAAAAAACTTGATATAGTGAAACTAAAAAATAAAATTTTGGTATGATAGGATAATAATTCAAAATAAATACATTTATGTTTAGTTAAGGATCGTTCACAAATTAGGCAACGCAAAACTTATTTAAAAAACGTAAGTAGAAGATCATTTTGCTCTTTTGCGCAGCAGTTTTTGCTGGACTTGAAAAGTTGTTTATATACTTTGTTTAATTAAAGACTCTGCAATGGAAAACTTTTAATCCTTTGTCTTGTCTATAAGTTTCATTTCACGGTATGTAAATTATGGGAAGCCCTTATAAAAAAAAAATTTAGCTGACAAAGAAAAAAAAGAACTTAATAAAATAAATCTCCCAAAATCATTTTTACACTTCAGTATTATTTGCTTTTAATTAATAAAAATATTGTTTAAATACTTATAGAATATAGACTTAAAAATAGAGTTCACTATTTCTATATCATATATCCATTGACATACTTAAACCCTTGGTTAAAAAAAAAAACAACTGGTAAATAAATTAAATTAAAAAAAAAAATAATTTGACTTTATTCAAAATCAAAAAAATAATAAAATCAGCTACTAAAGCAAATATTCCAGATTTCATATGCAGTTTCAAAAAAGTAAGTAAAACTAAAATGATAATTGTTGTAATAGTAATTCTAACTAAATAAAAATAAACACATACTGCTTCCATATATAGCAAAACTTCCCAAAGCAACAACACCAGCTGTTGTTACAGGTTCAAAAGAATGCACTGATACCAGAGAAATCAAAATAATAATCCAACTCAATTTGCTATTCATTATAACTTAATTGCGTTATCACTATAATCTTATGTCAAATTTGACAAGTAAATGAAAATCTATTAAGATAAAAGAAAATTAGCAAATATTACATACTAAATAGGTATGCATTATTCTGATTATTACATATGCATAAGAGGTTTTATTTGTTGTATTTATACCATATATGATATAAAATAATACAAAATAATAATAAACTATCGTATATCATATTATATAAAAGCTATGATGTGTTAAACTTTATATATATATATATATATATATATATATATATATATATATATATATATATATATATATATATATATATATACATATATATATATATATACATATATATACATATATATGTATATGTAAGTATATATATATGAATGAAGAAAAGATCTTTATACTATCATGTATAATATTGTATACTTAAAAGAGTCCTCAATAGATAAACTAGAGCTATATATTGTATATGTTACTTCTACCATTCAGTACCATTAGCTAAATGCTAATGCTTTTAATTTAATTTAATATCGCAACTCTGAGTGTTACCACAATCATCAGGCAATTAGTAAAAGTTTAATTTTACTACAAGCAAAATTAAACTTTTACTACTTGCCTGATGATTGTGGTAAGACATGAAACTCAAAGTTGCAATATTAAATTATATTATAAACATTAGCATTTAGGTAATTCCTGGTACTACGGGTAACAGTAACATATACACTATATAGCTTTAGTTTATCTATTGAGCACTCTTTTAAGTATACGATATTATACATGATAATTTAAAAATCTTTCCTTCATTCATATATATATATATATATATATATATATATATATATATATATATATATATATATATATATATATATATATATATATATATATATATATATATATATATAATATATATATATATATATATATATATATATATATATATATATATATATATATATATATATATATAAATATATATATATATAAATATATATATATATATATATATATATATATATATATATATATATATATATATATATATATATATATATATATATATATATATATCTGTGTGTGTGTATTTTCTACAAATGTTTAAAATATATAAATATAGTTACAGAAATTACATAATGCTAATTAAATTTTAAAGCATATTAATGAGCATTTAATTTTTGAAAAATTCAAAAAAAAAGTTAATATTCGGACACAGCGGCCTTAGTCCGTGGTTGTGGTAGGGATAGCACATCCCCCTGCCACAACCACATTTAGAGCATCAAACCATTTATTAAAACGCTGTTGCTCGCGCAACGGTACCGTTGCTTTTATTTCTTTCCTTAAAGTCACGGTAGGGAGCTCTGATTGGTTAATTTAGAAAGTCACGGCAGAGAAATCTGATTGGTAGATATTAAAATTCGCGGAACTGTTTATTTGAATTATCTCATATAAACACGTTATACCGTTGCTTTAAATTTTTTTTTACATCACGGTACCGCACTAATTATTTTGATAACATTTTAAATAAATTTCCAAGTAGTTAAAGTTTTAATTTTTTACAAGTTTTAATTTACTTATTTATTTAGACGTCAAATGCTTAATACAATAACAAAATATAATAACCATTGATTTACAGCTGAAAACTGTTATTTCGTTGTATTTTATAAGTTTCATCAACTTTTGTATGTTCACAAAATAGTTGCGAATATTCGGATTACTCTTAATTACTATTAATAATCTATTATTATTCATATTCGGATAAATATGCTTTCGCTGAAGTTCGCAATTTCGATTTTGAACCAAGAAAGCAGTTAAAAACTCATGAAAAAAACATTTCTTTAAATTTTCAACGATGACAGGTCGTGATTGGCTTTGTATTTTGATAAGGTTTAATCGGCTTTGTATTTTGATAAGTATTTTATAATATTTTATAAGTAACAATACTATACTGAAAGCAAATGTTTTGACAATATGGAGCATGGACGAAACAGGTATCAGCATAGTATGTAGTCCTGCAAAGTTAATTACGACTAAAGTGTTTGTACAGAGAGAAAAACGATTAGTGATGAGCGTGGCAGAAAATTTAGTTACCAGTAATATTTGTGCAAGAAGTATTTGCACCTCACTTTTTATATTTTCCAAAAGAACGTTGCATCACTGTTGAACTGATTTTCTTTTATTGTTCAATTGATCTGCTGCCCTAAAGAATGGACTGAGAGCACAATTTTGATTCATTGGGCGAGACCTTTTATTAAGTACTATCAAAATAATTCTAGTTTATTATTACCTAAAAGTTATCATAACCACAAGACGTCGGAGATTCAGATCTATTTATAAAATTACAACATAAATTTCTCAGAACATAATACAACATAAATGCTAAGACAAAGAAAACAGCTCTTTTATAATTTAAATACTTATAAACAAACTTTTAGAAAATTTATGAAACTAAAAAATAACCATAATAAAAGCCATAAATACATGTATTAATAAAATAACATACCAAGTAGCTGAGGTACTGTTATTTGTTTTTAAGCCTCCGCACCATAAGGTTGTTTAAGATTTTGTTTTTCTTTAATACTTTTCTAAGCTGTTAGTTTATGAATCAAAAGCTAAAAATTTCAGTATATGATTTTTAGCCATTGAATTCATTTCTAACAGAAGAAAGTTCAAAAGTGCCAAAAAAAGTTTCAAATCATAACCTAAAAAATCAAAGAAACAAATTAAATTTTCGGATTTAACTTTTACTTTTTTTTTTTAAATTAAACGCAATATTTCTATAAACTCTACACTATTAACTTAAATTTTAAGAAACTCTTCGCTGTCAACTTGTCATTTAACAAACTCTACTCTGTCAACTTGTCATTCAACAAACTCTGCACTATAAACTTGACATTTAACAAACTCTACACTGTCAATTTGTCATTCAACAAACTCTACACTACAAACTTGACATTTAACAAACTCTACACTGCCAACTTGTCATTCAACAAACTCTATAAACTTGACATTTAACAAACTCTACACTGTCAATTTGTCATTCAACAAACTTTATAAATTTGATTTCATACTTCTAAAAATTCTTTTAAAGGGTCAACTGATTAGAGAGTGGAATTAAAAGTAAGAAAATGGAAAGCATGTTAAAGAGACATAACAATAGCAAATGTTAACTTTGGAATGGATTGCATTACTGAAAGACTATAACCACAAATTAAAATACTAAAAAAAGATAACATTAAAAAATAACAACTACTACAAACTAAAACAAACAAATGTAACATTAAATCAAATACTATAATTACTTAAAAATATGGCAGAAAATTACTTCCTGTTATTAAACTTTATCAAATCATTTTAATTTTTGTTGTAATATACTACTTCAATGGAATTAAGTGATGTTTGCATAATTTCAGTCAAAGCAACTTCTTTTCCCTCTTCCCAATAACTAACTAATTTTTGAAGTATTTCAATCCTTCTTTCAAAATGAACATTTGCAACTTCTGATGTCAGATTTGCAAGTTTCATGGAAGAACACATGGCTTTTTTAAACTTTTGATGTTGTGTTAATGTTTTCTTATTTTTTGTAGATTTTGTTATTGTAGTTGTCAATGTAGCACAGGATTCTTTGTTAGTTTTTTTAAAAAAACAACTACTATTTTTATAATGTTCAACAGACCAGCGAGCGTCGCATAGATTCTCATCAAATAAAGGTAGTTCAAGTACTTTCTGGAGATAAAAAATATGTTTGCAAGGTAAGCACATAGATAAATGAAACAAACAGTTGCAAGTATCAGCTGAAACTACTATTTTCCCATCAGCAAAATTATATTCCTCATTTTCATTACATAAAAGTTCTTTGCTGGCAGCAAGCTGCTTACACACAAAGTCTGCAGCATATGTTGATAAAAAAAAGCAGTATTGAACCTCTAAAGATCCAGGTAGAAATACAGCTACTCTTCTTTTTAGGATAGTATTTGCAGTTGTATGGTCTTTTTCTGTACGAATTGCAGTAAGTATTACATAAAATTTATCTAAAAATTCTTCTAATGAACTATATCTAGTGATAACTGATTTAAGCTTTGCATTTAAACTTTCTAACCTGTTGTTCGTGGTATTAAAAAAATTTCCAGAGCTAAACTTCATCCCCATTACCCATTCATTTCGTATATCATGCCAGTTAGAATTGTAATATTCAATTACTGGGGATGGAGCATCAGATTGTAGTTGAGCATAGAGAGTTGCATATTCATTTTCATTTCTGGGGTATGCAATTTTCTGTAACAATTCAAGACAAAAATTTCTTTGTTTTGCAGTTATTCCTAGCTTTTTGCATGATACTTCTCTTTTAAAACATCTCATGGTATGAAATAGACATATTAGAATATTAGCACCATTAAACAACTTTTTCATAACATGTCTTTCTTGGATGTCTTTGTCAGCCATTATCACACGAATATGCCTTGATTCAGGATTTCTTTTTTTAAAATAATGAAAAAAGAATGTCAGACTTGATGCATCTTCTTCGGCTAAAAAACAAACAGCAACTACTTCACTCTGCCCCATAGCATCTTCATTAAGCATCAAGTAAACAGGCATTCTTAATTCCAAAAGCTTGTATGTTGCATCGACAAAAAGGATCTCTGGATAAGCTTTGTAGATATTGAACATTAATTGGTCTTGAAAGAAAATCACATTTGCATCATCTGTGAAAATATCAACTGTTGCTCCTGAAAAAATAATTTCATTTACTAGAATGATCAAACAACACAACGAACCATACACACAAATTTTGATAATAATTATTTGAAGACATATTTAAAATATACCATATTTTTCTTGGAGATCTTTAACAAACTTATCTAGATTATTTCTTGTCTCTACAATCTTTAATCTATTCTGAATATTAGAAAGATCTTTGAAAAGGACCACTTTACCAGTCTGTTGCGAAAGCTGCTGCTTTATTAGCTTTTTGTTGGCCTTCAATTTTAGCATTTTTACTGCTTCTCTTTAAAAATCTTCAGGAAGTTTTTTTTGTTTTGGTAAATGACTGTATAACTCCTGCGTATATAAAACTTTATTTATTTTTAAAGTTTATTTTAGAAATGACATTAAACATGTTTATTATGCATATAAAATTTCAACATAAAGTTTTTGTTAAGAAATACAATATTTCATTGTAAAATGAATTTGTTAAACATATATAACATAATATGCCTTGCTATTTCCTAACTATAACTCTTCTCAAATTTATTTATAACATAAACATGTATTGTATACTTTTGTTAATCATTGTTTAAACAAATAAATAAATCTAACTATAAATATCTTTGAGTGCTTCAGTAAACTATATATAATATCCTATAAAAAAATTACAAAATAATTTTTTTTTTTTAATTATAATATTTTTGGTAAATATATTATTTCTGATGGTAAATAGCTATTACCTGGGAAACTTCATGATTATGGTTCATATTAAGACTTTTTACTTGCAGATTCTGACCATCTTTGGATGCACGAAGAACCACATTAACTGGTCATTCTTGCCTAAATTTTCTATATAAAATTCAAAAAAAAATTTTTAACAAAAAAAAAATTAAAACAGTTTTGTTAATAATTATCTAAGCAATTTCTGCCTATTCTATTTTGGGACACAAAAGTAAAAGAAAGCATTTTTCTAATGCACTTTCTAATGATATTGTTAAAACTAACAGATTTGGTTTTACTGATAAAATAGTTGAAGACTACAGGGGAAAAAAGGCACATGTCACACATTTCCACTTTTGAGATAAATGAAATTTTGTCTTTGAAAGTCGCTATGTTTGTCTCTTACTGTATTTCTTTGGATGTTTCTGTAGCATTGCATAAACCTTTTTTGGGTTGGATTTTGCTATCTGGATTTTTAATCTTCAGAGTTAATTTTACATAGTAGGGAACATAGCACAAACTTTTTTCCCTGTGGTCTTCAGTTTTAAAAGTCTTTTTAAACACAGGTAGAAAGTATCATTTTACAAGTGTAGCAATTGAAGTCTATGAGACACGTATGAACACCTTTTCAGAATAAAATTCGTAAAATTTTTTGAGTCGCAATAATCATAGTCATAAGAAAGAGATGATCTGGCCATTTATGATACTTCTTTAATCAACTAACAATGTAGTGTATAATTAATTTAAAAATTTCATGTCACATACCTATATATATATATATATATATATATATATATATATATATATATATATATATATATATATATACATATATATATATACATATGTATATACATATATATACATATATATATATATATATATATATATATATATATATATATATATATATATATATATATATATATATATATATATATATATATATATATATATATATATATAGGTATGTGGATTGAAAATTTTAAATTGATCAAAGATTAGATTGTTATATATCATTAGAAAGTGCTTCAATACAGTATTTCAAAGGTGAAAAAATTATTAAAATCGGACTATTGTACAAAAAGTTATGACGTTTTTAGTCGCAAATTTTTGATATATGGATTTGTTGAAGAAACTGTGGTCAAAATTTAATTTTTCTTTACTTAAATTGTTATAACTTTGTCAATTCTTGTCTAAATACTTATAACTTAGTATCAAAAGATAGGTGTAACTGTGGGCTACAAATTTATAACATCGTCCACCTATTAAGCGTTTCCTGGGGGCTAGAGGGGGTGCCGAACCACCACCTTTACCCTAAAAATAAGCATATTTCTTTCAATAAAAAGTGTTTTTTTTCAACTAACGGTTATTTTTTTATACAAAAAATTGCTATAATTTTATTCCAGACCATCAATGATTGATGTTTATTAAAGTTGGTGGTGGATATGGTGGTGATGGTTTAACACACCCTAATTTCATAAATATTTAATTCTCTAATTATAAATAAATAAATATTTCTATATTTAATAAAATAAGTGAAACTAGTATACAGTATAAAAAACATAAAAATTTTTTTTGCTACAAGAAATTCATTTATTGGTGGTGTGCTTATTGACTTGTGGGAGGGGCGTGTGCCCCCCCCCAACCTAAAAAAATAAATAAGTAAAATAAATAAATCTTTATAATAACAATTATAATTATTTTAAAACAAGTTAACAATTTAAAACCTGAATTAGGCTTTTTGCACCAAGTATAACCTACAAGCTAAAGATAAAGACCACAACCGAGCCTACTTTTGAAAAAAAAGTCTTTCCGCTGCTATTCGTAAATTTTGGTTAAGTTGAGAAGTTTGTTAAATAGGGTGGTAATGGTTACCCACAACCTACAATAAAAAGATGTTGAATTCTTAAAAATAATTGTATCTTTAACAAACAAAATAAATTAGTATATTTCATTTTTTGATATTTCATTAAATATATTTTATTTCATTACTAAATATATCAGTGTTGTATCCTATAAAAAAATGTAACAATCAATTTTATATTGTTCTGTATTAAAACATTTTAGATATCCAAAGTTTAAATAGTTGTCTTAGCTTTTAGTAAATAATTAAAATAGTCAATTTCATAAATGGAACACTATAATAATCATTTGTAACAATAGACACCACGTGAAGATAAGCCAGAGCTGCCTATCAAAATATTTTGCAAGTCACAACACTTGTGCAAAGGTCATTCCAAGTCAAATACTTTTATTCTTCTCTAAAAACATTTATAAAAAAAAGGAAAACAAAAACATATGGTTTAATACCAGGCATACCTGACTTGATATGACTACTTCTTCAAGTTATATTACTTACAATACCTTTATACAAGTTTCATCATATGCCGTATCTGTTTTGTAAGTTTTATCACTTGCAGTATCTATTTTTAAAGCTTCATTACAAGTAATATCATAAGTTGTTACATATTACCTTTCAAAAAAAAATCAACTCTCCTAGTCCAACATCAGCGGAAGCTGATATTTTTTCATGTTGTAGTCAACAGCTTCAGTATCAGTATTACCTTTATTTCAGTAAGAAATTGTGCAAACTTTGTCTTGTTTTGTTTTATCAAGTTTCCTTCTCTACCATCATACATGACATACTTCGAATACTTACTATTGTACCATTCATGGCAAAGTTTTTGCCCAACAATTCTATCTGACATTACATCATCTTAGTCATGACATTGTTTGATAGACAATGTATTTAAACACTTTATTTCATTGTAAAAGAGTTCAAGCAACTGTTATTTTAACTTTCTTTTGTCTTTTTCATCCATTTTTTGGCATTTGCATACATGTTTTTTTGAAATATCTGCTCATATATCATTATGCTTCATTTGATTTATCATCTCTTTTTATGGGTTTCTGAATAGATCACATAACTATATTTTTATGGGTTTCTGAATAGACCACATAACTATATTTTTATGGGTTTCTGAATAGACTACATAACTATATTTTTATGGGTTTCTGAATAGACCACATAACTATATTTTTATGGGTTTCTGAATCGACCACATAACTACATTTTTATGGGTTTCTGAATCGACCACATAACTATATTTTCTCTAAATAATTGATCTAAACTTTCTAGGTAATTTAATTTGTATGAAACATAACAAACTGTTGCATTAGGTGATCTTTCTTCAGCCTCTCTAAACATTCCCATTAACTCTTCACTATTTATATCGTTGCTGCCTTGCACATGCTACTTCCTCCTTGAGAGTCTGGTTAATAGAAAGTGAGAAATATCTCTTACATTGATGAGTTAATAAAGACAAGCAAAAGTCATATTGATAAAGTGTTCATCAATCAAACAAAACATTTTTTATTGGATCTAAAATATTTGGTTCAAGGTCATTTTAAAAAGTGAACCTGGATTTGATTTAGAATCTGCAATTTTTAGTAAAATATTTTTTAATACCAGGATTCCACTATAATGGTCAAAATTTGCCTCCTCAACAGTCACACAAAATTTTGTCATCCAGGCTGGAAACTGGATGACAAAGTTTTATGTGACTTTGAGGAGGTGGTTTTCCAAATAATGCAAGCACACATTTTTGCTTTAGAGCTGTTTTGTTACAAAATACTGCTCTAAGAACTTTTTGTATAGTTCTGCATATTACTGTTCCAATGGTTAAAAAATGCTCAAACTCATTAAATGTTTTATAAAAATAAAACAAGTATGAAAATAAATATGAAGACGATTTCCTCGATACCTTGGAATGATTCCTTGTGGTAGTTTTTGATCATCTAAAAACTAACGAATCTTTTTGAATCACCTTTGCCATGTTTAAACCTCAACTTGTTCATACCCAAAACTATTTTAAATGCCATACAATCATACCCAGCCATGAGGTAGCAATTATATCAAGAGCGTGTAAATGGCAGTTTAGCTCATTTAAACTTTCCCCTTAATTGTCACACAGTTTGCTTATGGTAAGATGGTTAATTGCAACTTTGGCTGACATTGCGTTTGATTTATTTGAGATGATTGATTGATCACTATCATTAAAAGATGCTAAATGAAAATCTAAATAAAAGTTAGATGATCAACTGCTTTACATATATGCAAGCAAATATTTGTAACTAGCTATAAGCATTTTATTTGCCTTAAAATTATGTACAACTTTAACTTATTTTAGTTTTTAAAGTTCTGAAATTTTCATTGCTTTTTTTTTAAGCTTTAAGATTGCATATTATCTTACTGTAATAATATGTTTGCAAATTTTGTTTAAGATCTCTAAGTTCAGCTCTTAAATCTTTAAAAATTTGTTTTTTTTTATGTAATTTTTGTCTTAGTACTTTCAACTTGTATGCCATGCTTTTTAATTTTGTTGTCACTATTACTAATTTATTTCAATACTTGCTGGATGTAACAGCAAGCTGAGAAGTTAAATAGGACAATCTGGTATTCAAACCTTTTTTTTCTAGGGCTTATTTCTCCTCTTGATTCATGCCTATTCATTGTTAACAGAATGTTTGGAAAATAAAGGCTTGTGATTTAGTGGTGATAAATTACTTATGTGCTCAAGTGGTGAATTATCTAAACTACTTAAAACAGTAGTAAGAGAACTACTTGGAGGGACATGATGATAGAAAAATGGGCAAGATTTGTGCAATGCATATACAGGGTTCATTACGAAATTCCTTAAAACGACAACTATCCCTTGTAAAGTTGCAAAACCAACTTTTGCATCTTTTCAAAACCCTAAAGAAATGTGGTTTACAAATGTTTAAACTAAATAATAGTTATAACAAATGACACTGTTAATGAATAAAAAAGATACATATCTATTTTTACAACAACTGCAAGTTTTGGCAGATAAAAAGAAGTGTGTATTTAAATACTCTTTAACTGTACTAAGAACAAAAATTAAAGTTGCTTATTGTGCCTATTGCCGGGGCACAAAAAGCAACTTTATTTACAAAAAAAAATGTAAAGAAAGTCTTGAATAACTACCGAATAATGATATAACATTAAATTATAAACAATATTATATTTTTATTATTAAAAACATTTTTAATAATACTGTATTATTGCGTAATTAAAAAATACTATTTATACACACAGACAAAAATGCCAATGTATACTGACATCATAAAACATGTGATAATAAAAAGAGTTTTTAAAATACCATCATACCTATAGCTAGAATTATAGTAATCAACGCTTATGTTTTCAATTTCAATGAAACCAATAAAATTTTAGAAACTATAAACAAGTCACACTAAAATTAATAGTAATTTTCACTTTTAAAATAAAATAAACTAGTAAAAATATACAAACTAATATTAATTAATATAAAAAATCTAATAAACTACTGAAAAAATAAGAATAAGAAAAAAACATCTTATTGGCAGTCTATATCTAATTGTATTAATATATATATATATATATATATATATATATATATATATATATATATATATATATATATATATATATATATATATATATATATATATATATTATTATTATTATTATTATATATATATATATATATATTATTATAAATATATATTATTATATATGAAATATATATATATATATATATATATATATATATATATATATATAATATATATATATATATATATATATATTTGCAGTAATTTATTAGATTTTTATATTAATTAATATTAGTTTGTATATTTTTACAAATTTATTTTGTTTAAAAAAAAAATTATATATATATATATATATATATATATATATATATATATATATACATGTATATATATATATATATATATATATATATATATATATACATATACATATATATATATATATATATATATATATATATATATATATATATATATATATATATATATATATTATACATATAACATAAATAATTACTAAACTAACCAAATAAAATTCAACTTGTTTGTACCCCTCTTACCACCCACTTACGGAAATCAGAAAAACAGAAATGAGGTACCAAAACTGCTCACTTTTATAGACTATCTGCTCAATAATATTTTTCAATGAAATTTGGTAGATAGATAAAAAATATATGTAAAAAACTATCTGGGTAGGTTTGCAAACTATCTGAGCATTTCTTGGACAATAATTTAATGTGAGAACAACAACCAAGTTTTTAATACAAATAAAAGCAATACAAAAATTACCAACCACACATAAATGTTATATATTAATCAAGTTTAACTATTCTTTTTTTCAAAAATAATCTAAGTTTAGTAATGTTTCTAAACAGAAACGCCACAAAAAACGTTCGCCTGACGTTACCTAAAAAAAAGTTCAAAAAACCTGGCACAAAATTTTAGTACAAAATTCGGTTCCGTAAAACACGGATTTCCGCGTACCTAATATATATATATATATATATATATATATATATATATATATATATATATATATATATATATATATATATATATATATATATATATATATATATATATACATATATATATATATATATTATTATTATTATTATTATTATTATTATTATATTATTATTATAATTATATTATTATTATTATTGCTATTACTGAATTTAACATGAATAAGCATTTACTTTGTATATAATTACTTTACCTTTTGTTTTAAATTTGTTAACACCCTTGAATTTGTAAGAGCTTCATCCAGAAATAAATTAATTCGTTAGTTGGTTCTACACGACAAGAAAACTTCATGTGGCTTATCAAACTTTATAGAATAGGCTATTCTAACTTTATAAAACGTCATTAAAATAGCCCATGACCCACATTAAATTTTATTGTGGCACAATTAGATAACTTACAATGCACTACGTAGTCCTCGACTTCTAGACTTAAAGTTAACACCACCTTGAATGCAGCAGTACTTTACTTCATAATAAACAAGAGATTCTTTAAGCTCTTTTGAAAGTCTTTTTTTAGCTGATAATATTTTTCTGATATCTCTTTTCCATAATTGAACAAAATTCAGATTTTCATATTCCTTTATAAAATTTTGCAGTGATGCAAATGAGTCAAATTTTTGATTTAAATAAAAACTTGCTGAATTAATAGCCTCCATTTTTCATATGTACAGTATAAGTAAATGTTAGATTTTCAATTAACTTATAATAACTTTTCAACTAATGTAAATTTATGCAATTCAACGATATCACTAACTTCAAGTGTTAATTTTACCGATTTCTTTAACTTTCCAATCAATCGACCAATCAAGCTTCGCTGCCGTGACTAAATAAACTAACTAATCAGATTTCTCTGGAGAAACTATAAATTAACCAATCAGAGCTCACTACCGTAACTTTACGGAAAGAAATTAAAGCAACGGTACCGTTGCGCGAGCAACAGCGTTATTAAAATCTGGGTGCGGTTTCGAAACTCTCGGGTTACTTACGGAAACCGTACTATATATTACCATAGTAAATGTTACCATGATATTGCGTTGCTATATTTGTGGCTCGTTTACTTTTTCCGTAATCATAAAATACCAATGATATATATACATAGATATCTAACTCCGTAAAAATTCCGGGTAGGTACAATCGGCAGAGCAGAGCAGATTGGCAGAGCAGATCATTGTAATGTTGATAGCGGCAGAGCAGATTATCCAATCAGCCGTTTTCTAATGTGTGATCTGCCAAATATTATTTGACAGATCACACATTATTCAAATATTATTTGGCAGATCACGCATTATTAAAATATAATCTTGCAGATCACAAAATAGAAAACGGATGATTGTCTGTCTGTGATAATCTGCTCTGCCGTTATTATTATTACAATGATCTGCTCTGCCAATCTGCTCTGCCGGTTGCATTATGATCTGCCGAAATATTTGGCAGATCACACATTAGAATACGGCAGATCACTTTTTTTTTGGAAAAGTATTGCAACAACAAAAAACGTTTATGTTTGAAAAGTCAACTCATAGTTCTTTCTATTCGAAGTGCATCTTTTTTCATAAAAATATTTGGCAATCATATTATAAAAATTCTATTATATGATCTGCCGAATTATCTGGCAGATCACACATAAGGAAACGGCTGATTGAATAATCTGCTCTGCCGTTATTAACATTTCAATGATCTGCTCTGCCAATCTGCTCTGCCAATTGTACCTACCCAAAAATTCCTTGATATAGTATGAGGCAAATATTTTCGGCGGAAGCCGTATTGAATACTGGCAAAACATCGTAAATAAGCGATGAAGCTTTGACTTGGTTTTACAAGAAACTATATACTACCTGACCTGTTTAGATTTATTTATTAAAAATGAAACAAAATAATCTTAATAGTATAGTTAATGTTGAAGAAGAAGTAATGTTGTTTTGAATTACTTTATCTGAAATTGAATTTGATTACTTTATCTGGACGTTATTTTTATAATTGTAAACTTAAAGTAGTTGATGTTACTTTAAAGTTATAGTTTTAAAAATAAGTTAACTACCTTAAGAATGCTGTTATTTCTGACATACTTTGAAAAAACTGGACATGGATTAGATCGAGGAGATATTAATTAAATACACTATTACCAGTAAACAATATATTAACTGTTAATAATAGTATTCCCATATATATATATATATATATATATATATATATATATATATATATATATATATATATATATATATATATATATATATATATATATATATATATATATATATATATATACATTTATAACAACAATTATAAATGTATTCTATAAAATAGAGTGCTCAATGTTCTTAAAAGAACAGAGCAATAACAAATTATTAGAAATCACTTATCAATTTCAATTTTTTACACAATGTTTCGTCAATATTTCTGAAAAGTCTTTATTGACGAAACATTGTGTAAAAAATTGAAATTGATAAGTGATTTCTAATAATATATATATATATATATATATATATATATATATATATATATATATATATATATATATATATATATATATATACATATATATATATATATATAATGCATGAATAAACTTTATTTTATATAAATATTATACATGTGTATGCATAAACACACACATACACACATAATTATAAAAACACACATACACATATATAAATATATACATATATAATATACACATATATAATATTTATATATAATAGAGTGTTTTTTTTATAAATATAGAATGTATTTAAAAATAAAACAATTTGCATTATCTCTAAAACTAAAAAATCTGAGTTCTTTTTTAACTAAAAAAAATATTTATATGCCTTTAAATAAAATTATTTTATTAAACTGCTGACGTAAACCAATTTTATGTTTATGTAGAATATCGTTAGTATACTGTTTCCATAACGAAATAAACTAATGGAGAGATATTTATCAATTATCTTTTTTAATAGTTGAGAGGAGTGCATATCTTCAGTTAAAATCTCATGATCTAAATCCTGCTCGTTTAGTTCAGGAAACATCTTTTCACATGCAAGCTCTTGATTAATTTTGTAAACCATTAAGGATTTTAAGTTTTTTTGTGAATAAGTGGCTAACGTTGAATTTATGCCTATAACGAAAACTCTAAATATTTTCTCACATTTTTCAATAATTTTAATAACACTAACAGATAGTATATTTAATCTACCAAGATTTTTTAAATTTATAAAAGATAAAGATGATGATTTGTAAAAGACTGTGTAGTCATGATCACGAACTAAATTATCTGGTTGGTTAAGTGCTTCAGCACATATGCAACAAGTTATTTTCTTTTTAAGAGTTTTAGCAATGTAACCAGCTGTATAACCAAGTATTGCTTGTTTGTATATCAATGTTGAAATCTTTTCTAGGCTATTTGATAAGTTTGCAATTATATTTTTATCTTCATCTTTTAATTCTGTTTCTATCATTGGAGATCTTGTTTTACTCCATTTCAATGAAAATATTGAACAAGCTGAATTTTTTTCAAAAGTGAGACAATTTGCATGCTTTGAACCAATCAAAAAGTTTCTTAAAAGAATTTTTTTGAAACTTGACTTTAATTGTATAATATTAGGATTATTATTAAATCCATTTTTTCCCCTAATACAAGCAAACAACAGTTCTAAGATTTTGAGACACTTTATAGGTCAACACATATTTGAATGAACATTCGGATCTTGATAGTAAATTTATAGACATATTTTGGATACTAGTTGCAGCGACAATGAAACCAATAGCAAACGTTTTTCTTCTATGTTTAAGAATTTTAGTCCCATCTTTATCAGTTAGGCTGGCCAGATATTTAATTGTTTTTTCAATAACACTAAACCAATGGATTTTGTCATTAAGAAATAAGGGTTTTTTCAAACCTTTGCTTTTAAACGAGGTTTATTTGCATTTTCATAATTGTAATCTTCTTTATGAAAGTGAACACTACATATATAACTATATTTTGTAGGAACAAATGAATCACGTTTTGTTGTCACAACCCATTTTTGGCATAGCTCGCTATTATTTAAAGGGAACTTATGAAACGATATCGCAACACCTTAATTAAATCGGTTCACACAACCATAAGCAGAGCACGATATAACCATTTCTTTAGTAATAAAAGTAAATTTTTAAAAAATATTATAAATTTTTTTTTTGCGTGTTTTGCCAGTATTCAAGATGGCTTCCAATAAACAAATTTGCCTCACAACCGCGGCTCGAGTTAGATATCTAGTTAATATATATCATTGTAAAATACTGTTAGCATGACTCTGTTATTATGCTTTTTCGTAATAGACTTTTATTTTTTTCGTAATAGACGTTTATAATTCGTAATAGACGTTTATATTTCGTAATAGACGTATTATTTTCGTAATTGACTATGCTTTTTCGTAATAGACGTTTCTCTAATTTGATTAGGCAATTATTTTTGCGAGGCCAGTGCGGACAAAAAAACAGCGTTCTGTCACAAAAAAAAAAAAAACAAAAAAAAACTGTTCCTCGGAATAAACAGTCCGATAGGACATTATACTGACATATATAGTGATAACTGAACTGTAAAAAAACGTATTTACAATAACAAAAAAAAAAAAAAAAATGATATTAAACATCAACTATCATTACTCCATTGGGAGCATATCAACTGTAATGAAGATGCAAG